ACTTATTGCTTTGTATTCTTCGTATTCAATACGATAAAAACCCACAGTTTATTCGGTTCTGTTTCATCTGTATTGTGACTCTGGGTTACAAAAACTCAAACCATCTGGCGAAAACAGAATTATAAGCACTACGACTGCTTCCCTTTTCCATTTCAAAAATCCTTTGACGAACGCTAATCAACTAAGGTGATTATCATCAGTAGATTTGATACTTTGTCTCTAACTCGAGCCTTCCTATTTCACTTATTGGAAGGAATTATAGATTAGAAAACGATTCCAGAAAGCATCATCACATTGCCGCTTTGTTCTAGAGGAACGCAGATAGTAAGTTTCTCTGAGACGAAGATTATCGCGTTTTCTCTTAGTTTTTTCGTATGTCACTAAAACAACAATTTCACGAGCTGATTGCTACAAATTGTTGTTACGCATTGTTACTTATTGCCGAAAGATCAACTTTATCTTATTCAATTTTCTAGAATCACTTCTTCTATTGTTGTTGGTGGTGCTCTTTCACGTCACTAAATGAAAACAGCAGCTTATCCTTGATTTCTTTTTCTCTATCTTATCGATATATTCTTGACTATCATAGAAATACGAAAGAATAAGGGAAAATACAAATCAATTCTCATAGAATATTACGAAAGTAAATATTTCTTCTCAACGGTACATATCTCTATATTTTCTCACTTAATGCTACCGGTAAAGGAATGTAAGTAGTATGCATATTCCATCACTATCTTTTTTCGTTCTGATATCATGTTTGAATACGTATATATCTTCTTTTCTAGCATGTTCAGGTACATTCGTTTTCTTTTTTAATCTTTCTTTTTGATTCATGCATTTTCTCACATATTTTCTAGTGATTTATTTCTGTTACAGCTCTTTCAAGCTGTAAAACTTGTATACACGTCATAAAATAATACTTTTATCTGACTAATAACTGATCAATAGTTGATCATTTTCACAAAGTGGACAAATAGTAAGCACATTTCTATTTTAACATAGTTCACATATCACGATAATAAAAATGTGTTATAATTATTAAACCTAACATCGCACAAATTGTTCTGTAATGCACTATCTTCAATCAAGTCTGACAAAGAACACATTGTATTTAATCTCTACGGAAAGTATACCTCAAATACTTGTAGCAGAAACCATATTGGATGATGATAATGAATAGGAAGAGCAAGATTCCAAAAATCCATTCACATTAGCATCAATATACCCCCATTTAGATGAATGTTCCTCTTCAATAAACTCACACGCCTATGCCTACATTCTGCCTTTTTCACGTATGATAGAGTACGTCTGACTGAAAAATCTTTTTTGAAAATTGATCCTGGCCCATTTTAGAATGTTAAAGATACTTGCTTCAAATTTCAAACAGACAGATGCCATGAAAAGAGTTGCATTGATGGGCCAATGATTCATTGTTCTTGGTGCAACAAGAACATGATTCACTCTTTTTTCAAACTATAATCATCATTAGACTGGTCAATTCTTTTCTTGATTTTTTATTTTATTCTTATTCTTCGTATCATTGTAATTTTCTTATTAAGAAAAACGTTAGGTAAAGATCGTCTTTTTTTATGCGATAAGCAGCGAGGTGTAAGATGAGTTTGTAAGAAGTTAGCTCGTGAAAACCTTCCTTTATTGAGATATAACTAATAGTACGAATTCTTTTGGATTTTTTTCTATTCTATGAGTTCAACTGACGAGAAAACTTTAAGCTCAAAGAACAGGTATTTATGAGTATGACTTTCATATTACTAAGGTTACCACTAAGTGGTAAGTACTACTTGCTAGTGAGGACATATTGGTCAGTTTAATTTTTGTCTCAAACAAAGCCTGCTTTATGAACTTTAATCCAAAGTGTGCGAAATCATGAAATCCAGAGGAAGAGCACATAAGAAAACGAATTCGCCCACATCAGAATTTTCAAAACAAGTCTATAACGACTGAGGCAGTTTAAATGGCTACACTTTGCATTTCAATTTTCAATTACTTAATATCAGGTTACCTTTGCTTTGAAAATGGACAAGATTTTGAGCGATTGAATTTCGACCGTGAGAAAAATTGTCGCACAAAATTTTGTTGCTTTCGAAAACAAATACCATAAGCTTTACTGTGTAAATTATGTAGCTTTTCACGATGCATCTAGTAGTATATTTTGTTCTTTCAACTAAAAACTATCAGATGATAAAAAGATGAAATAAGAAAAAACGAATTCATCTTGTACAAAGAAAATCTCGTTTTCCCATGGTCGAAATTAGGTCTCTCGAAATTCTGTGCATTTGAAAGAAAAAAGTACAATGGTTAAAAAAGCTGGTCCATATAAATCATAGAGTTTTTCGCGTTGCATATTGTGGTATATTTGATCTTTTTAATACAACGTATTAAATGCGTAAAAATTAAAATGCAAAGTTTAGCCATCTAATCTGCCTCATCCGTTATTTCGATGCAGAATGAGATAGCAAATCATTGGACACCGCATTTAATCTGTTTAGAAAACCAATGAATGATTCCTAATCCAGATTAATATACCATATTGCCATTGTACTCAAACGGCTATATCCAACAATAAGATAACTATAAGCTGAATTTACGGTGAACTAATAGTGTTTCTATAGCGTTTCATGCAGTTTTTGACGGACTAATCGTTGGTGTAGTTTTCTTCTAGTTATTTTATTAGCTATAGCTTTTCGAGGTTTGGTCGTGCCTAAAACTACAACCATATGTGCTACCATTTCAGAAGAACCTATTGCATCCATATTAATAGAACAGAAGCCCATTATGTGGTTTTCTGGAACTGATCTAAGATGAATATTGGAGGTTTCTCATCTGTATAATTA